TTTTTTTTTTTTTTTTTTTTGGTGAAAGGTTAGTTCAAATTATAACCTTTATTCTACCGAGTCTCTCTTTCTCAGTCCCAAGTCCTCAACTCACTTCAAATGGAGAGACAAGACTTGATGAGTGTAAGGAGAAGACTGGCAAAGACTCAGCTTATTACACTACCACCGCCTCCACCAACAAGGGTTCAAGCACCACCACCACCACCACCACCACCAAGTGAGTTGAAGCTCGCTGCTATTGCTTCAAATTTGAACGTCCGGCTGAGATCCGCTGACATGCCGCCAGCAATGCAGGAGCGAGCCATCCGACGAGCCAGAGATCTTCTCGACTCAAATCCGGATACACAGAAAAGACTCAATCCCACGCACCTCGCCATGTGTCTCAAGAAGGTCCATAAACATTGCAAACATTCAGTTTTCGGTTTGAGTTGGAGTAGTAATTGTATAATAAATCATCTGGTTTTTTTGCTTTGATCTTTGCAGGAATTTGATGCATTGTACGGACCGGCTTGGCACTGCGTGGTGGGTAAGAGTTTCGGAACGTTTGTGACTCACTCGAGTGGAGGATTCGTGTATTTCTCTGTGGACAAGCTCTGTTTTCTTCTGTTCAAGACGGAGGTCCGGCCGGCGGCCAAGGCCCCCGTAAAATTGCTTGGATTTAATAAGTAGTGGCTAAGGATGTGAGCAGTTTCACTTTTTATCCATGGAAAGAATGGAGTTCGCCAAATTATGAGTCATTTTAGGCGTAATTACTAATTTTTTATTTTTTTTATGCTTTTAAGTTCAATTTAATCTCTTCTACAGTTCTACTTTCTTGTGAGATGGAGAGAGTCCTGTTTTGACAATTTCACAAAGTAGCAACTTAAAAAATTGATTCAAACAGAAGTTGAATCTCCTTTAGCATCAGTACCGGTTTGGTCTTCGACGGGAAGTTGTTTAAATGCTGCTTGAGCAAAAAAATTGTTTGCATTACAACATAAACCCCCTTGGGGAAAAAATAAAGATTGTTTGGGCATGTTTACTTAAAAATTGGAGAAAACAAGCCCAAAGAACCCATTATCAGGATTCAGGAGGTGGTTTACGAAGTGCTTACCCGTAAAATGGTTGCATACCCTAACCATAAGTGGGTTATTTTATTTTTTATTTTTTGATTCTAGCCTGTGAGGGTATGCATGCTTGAGTTAATTTATGTTTATCTTAAAATTAATTTTATCTCTAATTTGACCAAAATTAAATTATTTTTGCCACAATTAAAAAATGATAACAAAATTAACTTTTTATTAATTTCTGTAAGTAATGAAACCTTAAATAATAAAATTAACCCATCAG